CATCTGTGATGGATGAAGATACCAAGAAAACAACACCATTTAATGGTAATTATAAGTCAATTTGTTGACCGATTTCGTTAATAGTTTCATTAATTTTATCAATCATATTACGTGATTGTCAAGTCATGACAATGCTTTATGACGATATCCTGAAACTATTAAATTTAACTAGTTATAGTGTTGATTGAGGATTAGCCAGTGGAAAAATAGGTATTTTTGCTTTAGGTGATTCAAAATTATCGGAAATTTATGTTACAGAATCCGAGACGCCTAATTATATTATAATTTTCAATTCAGAAATATTCGTTTAGTGGTAATTTTAGTAGGCTACGAAGTTTTGGTTTTAAACGTTTGTTCAGTCAACAGCCACCTGGAGATTTAGTTATTTGACTAGTGCCGTTGATAGTACTTAAATTTGTAATCGAATTATCTAAACTATGTCTGCATTTTAGGCTGCTACTATGATAAACCAATCCATAAACCCAAATACGATTAGCAACAACAAATATGATGGGTTTATTGATAAATGTTAAAGGCGATTCAGATGATTTCTAAATTCAAAAGACATGAAGATATAGTAAAACGTATGTACGGGCCAGGTTAACATGCAGGTTGTTGACGTATATGACAATTTAAAAATAATGAACATGACCAGATAAATAATTTTAAAGTTTAGACTGCTTGTGAAACTTCAGGCAGGAATATGATGCGTTATAAACATTCCATAAGTTACTGCATTCAGCCTAGGGACACTTACAAATATATGGCAAAAGCAACTGGAAAACATATATATGTTCAGTACAAAAAATCATTAAGTAAGATAGTTGAACTCGCCTGAATTATTTCTAAAAATTAGATTATTCAGTGGACGACATATATAACGCCATTCGTAAGGAGTAGTAATGATCCAAAAGTATCCAGAATAAAACATGCAGTATGCAATTAATCCCAGGGTGCTTGATGGTGTTGACGTTTCTGCCACTCGCTCGGATTAGAACAATCGAATGAATTCAGTTAATTGTATGGTTGTTATTGAACGAGCCATCTAAAATGACCTTATGATTGCAGAAAACCTATAGATGAAACTCACCGTATGTCTTTGGAGAAGTGTCATCCTTGTTGTTTGGCAATGGAACTCGAAAATATGAAATTAGGCAGGCAGTGGTCAGAAGAAAAGATATTACGGGATAGCGCATAGTTTAAAACAAGATGAGGTGTTAGGTGAAGGAACACTGATAATTAGGTCCAGATAACTATTTAGTCCTTGATTGCATTGTTAGTCAATGTATACTTACGCTATTTACAGGTCATGTTTACTAGAGCTTGATGTTTAAACAAATCCATGTTGCTGAAGCATGTAAATGCTATTAAAGCTTGTTAACGAACCATCAAAGATAATTAGTTGATATAGATGATCAACTTTTATTATCGATTCAGCTAGTAAGTTATGTGAACTAATAGATATAACATTACGATAATATATGTGACTATTAATCAAAGGACTATTAGAATACTGGGTTTACAAAAATAAAAACCGATGGAGAAGGTTAAGGTGGAAATAAGGACTGACAATAATAGGTTGCGTTTCTTTAGTTGGGCTCACCAATGTAGAATTATGGTCTACTATGATATTAGTACTGCTCTAATAATAGACCTAATCCTAAATTTGTAGATTTGTCATGATATAACTGCCTAATCTATAAGATCTTACGTGGAAGTCACACCATCGACTACACCAACTCACTGTATTGTATCAATTACCAATACATGATGTAGAACAAGGTTAGGCTAGAGAAAGAACAATATATTTAATATGAATAGAAGATATAAGGTAACATTCAGCAGAGACCACGCCTGCATGGCCGAGCCATGCCACTCGATCAACTCCAGTCCATTCAATTCATTCTCCGCGCCTTCTCCACGGTTAGGTATTTCCCCGAGTTAAATATTGAATATCTATTTTCTGAGTAGTCTCGTGTTCACAGTTTTGTGGATTGTGTGGCTATTGTCCACTGCCACTACAGACGTAGTCTGATTTACCGAAATCAGGTCTGCTCCATGGTGTGAAGAATTCTCCGGGCAGACGCAATGTCGTGCCGTATACCAGCTCAGCGGTGGAACATTGGATATCTGCCTTCAAGCTCGTTCGAATATCTAAGAGAATGAGGTTTCGTACCAGTTGTCGTTCTCGTGTACTCGTAGAGCACTTTTAAGTTGGCAATGAAACCGTTCAACTTAACCATTTGATGCTGGGAGGTAGACGCTAATGCTTATGCGAATGCATTCCGTACCAAGCAGCCGCGTCAGTGAGGAGAATAGTTAATATGGGAAAATTTCTCGAATAAAGCGTGGAATTCATCGCCACGCGAATAAAAAGTGACAAGGATTCGGTACACATACATGTGAGTCTATTATATTAATACTATTCTTATCGTTATCCGTCATGTCGAGTATATTATATATTAAAAAATATGAAAATAAACGACAGGCGTGGATAGATAAATCATTGACTCACCGAATTGGCTTCTTTGGAAGATTTGACCAGAGGTTGGGGCGTGTTCCAAAATACGACTCACCAATTATAGCGTGGCGTCGAGTTGAGGTTAACTATGAACACCGCTACAGAGAAACACGTTCCAAGTAGATCAGATGGCGTAGGTTGAACGTAACCAAATAAAGTCACAATCAAAGTGTATGTATAAGAATGGAAGCACAAAATAACTGTCATTGGCACAGTCAAACAAAAGCACATTAAAATAAACACTGGTACAGTTGGTTATAATAATAATTGTTTTTATTAAACCAGTCGTGTTCTCGTGATAAATGTGAGTCACTACACACACTTATAAGTACTGCCGACTACTGTAATCAGATTAATATTTAAAACACATTATGAACGCAAGCGCAGAGTTTATGAGAAAGAAAGTACTACAAGACAAATTTAACAAAATTCGAAATTTGAACGGGAGTTCTTCAATTTAAAGTAGACCAAGAGTGCTTTTTGAAGCGACAAGTACACAAAAGCAAAGATAATCACAACAAGTGCAAAATCACCGACTTTTTATAAATCCACGTTTCAGGTGATCCTTCAGTCGTGATATGATGTGTGGCATAGCTGCTATCACACGGGAGCTTTGTTCGTGTGTTTTTAAGTTCATGGTAGTTGTTGAGCATCCGTTTAAGGTGTAGATCTAGTTTCTGTTTAACCTTGACTTAACATAAGCTAAAACACGAAAATGAAGTTCCTAATACTTTCATTTGTTTGAGTGAATCATTAGATTACGGTGTTGTATCAGGTTTATACCAATGATTAGCGAAAAACGTTTGCCGTAAAGAAAATCTGGTGAATTGGTTTGTGGAAACCCACGACAAGTTGAACATATATCTTATCGAAGGTGACGGTCAGGTTTCTGTCTGCCGTCTATAAGATGAAGACCTATTCGTGTAAACCGTCCCTAGTATTCGTGGGACGAACGTTTATTCCTGCTTGTGTTGACGAGATGACAGTCTATCGTCATCACATCAGTTATGTATGATAGATGGCCACTTTTGCCGGTTACGGTTGTCGTTGATGCATGAGACAGGGAAGTTTTCTGAAAAGATTATGGTGGCAGAATTTTTAAGGTAGAAAAAATCCATGAGATATTACTAAATACCTAAGACCTTACCAAAATAACAAGAAGCAAGAGCGAACAAATCAATTAGTTTATGCAAGCTTGTGACAAATATATTGGCTATTAGATGTAGTGGACAAAGTTTTTCACAAAGAGACCTTCATTAAATTGGCGCCTATTCAGTAAGCAAGGTCGACAATAACTTGAAGTATTGAGGTTAGTGTTAAGTTATTTGTTTGATATAGAAAACCTGTTTTTACGTTTGTCTGATGTGTTCGCATGGAAGAAAATATATGAGAGGTTCATATTAGTGCCTGTCGTCCTGAACACGCACTCAAGTTCTAATTTGTCAATATATGTAAGTTGTGATTACAAGGAAGTAGGTTGATAGATAAAAGTTCACTTCAAATCAAGGATAAAAAACTGGGCTCAGATAAATTACAGTCACATTCACAAAGTCCTTAAGTGCGCTTATCTTAGTGTATACAGTTTGCCTCGATTGAGAGTTCGAACTCAAACAAAATACAACATACAGGGATAACAAGTTTAGTTACAACGTACAAATATCACTATCAATAAGTGAAATTAATCTACTGAGCCGTGTGCCTTCTTGTTTTTAGCATTTCTCAGCCTCAGCATATATTGCTTGCTTTAGGACCCCTTGAATAATGACATTCCAGCACAAATGCTCTCGTAAATGGAATGTCTAATAGGATATGTGTAATAATGGCACATTTTTGTGTGATCTGTTTGGTTTTGCCGTCTAAACGTTTCGGTGAGGTGTAGATGAAGTCGAGTTTTAGTCGGATTATATCTGGGTTTATTAGAAGAGTGGTTTTTGACCGTCTTTTGGGACGGCTGCCTATAGCCGTTTTCTAAACGAACGATTTACAGATTACTCAGAAATTGAGTCTTATGAATGAACTTGTCAATCACTCGTTGATTGCTTGTTCATGTAATCCATCACCTACGAATTGTAATTAATATAGTGTATATGCTTAGTAGCTCTCTGCTTTTATATGACAGTTTGCAAACAAATAGTCACCAACCAGAGTTGTAAGCAGAGACTTAATTATTACATTATTCATCACTCCGCCTTGCGTTTCACAGCTATACTAATGCAAACGTAACTCGCTTAGTTCTAATTTATTGCAGTTGTGATGTCAGTACTGTCTTATATTGTGCCGGTCTACAAAACATTCTTAACTCATCCCATAAAAAATCCAATGTCAAGGCGTTAAATGAGTCAGAATGTTTGGTTGTTGATCCGTATCCCTCACGTAAATTGCAGCCTTTCATCTAGGTGTACTTTAACAGGATGGTGGTGTTTTCTTTTTGTCGTTTTCCAAGCCTATATTTTATGTTGTTTATTCTTTTTTAGAACATATGACTCTAGATGAACGCTTCCAAAAACTTGGAACCCTTCTCAAACGTTTCAAAATCATTGATTCATCATTGTTGTCTTATGGTACTGCCGGGTTTCGTCTTCCCGCTGATAAATTAGGCGGTGTAGCGATTCGATTAGGAATATTGGCATGCATCAGATCATTAAACTTGGTACTGATGCAATTTTTAACTAATCTGTTTAGCAATGTAGGGCAGTGGGTATAATGATAACTGCTTCTCACAACCCACCATGCGACAACGGAATGAAGCTAGTTGATCCTCATGGGGGTATGTTGGATGCTGAATGGGAACCAGTTGTAGTCAGTTTTATGAGTTGTAGCGATGAATCTGTCTCTAAATGGCTATCAGAACATTGCTGCAATTTCCAAGGTATGATCTGTTTTGTAGGTTAGCTTTGCTGTTTAAAATCTAGCTTCTCATCGTAACAACCTGTTTTATGTAATCTCTTTATTCACAAATGTAGTGTAAAGCAAATTAGAGATTGTAACACATTTGTATTTTTACGGACTACTTGTTGATTAGGAGGAACTATTAGTGTCACAATTAATATTTAGTAAACTACTGATAATTGTTGTAATTCAGTGAATAAATTCGAGGCCTTACGTTTTTCTGTAAGTCTTATTTATTGTGAGCTGGAGATTATAATTATCTTGTCAATCTGTCCTCGCGATTCCTCATCTTTCCTCTTGGATCACACGGTTCATGACTTCATAAACGAATAGCGTTGGTTCAGCCCTTCACCCCCAGTTTCGTTCAGAGTATTTGTATCCTAACCAACTATCATTTATGTAAAAAATGTGATGAAACCTAAGATGAGACTCGTTACCGTTCTGGCTTCACAAAAGACCACTAAGTCAGTCAGTCAGTTAGTCAGCTACAACGTAGGACCAGGCACATATATGCATCGGTCCAAGTTGCTATACCTCATTAGCACAACAAGATGAACACGAAATTCATAGAAGTAGTTACTTCAGTGGTAGTAATATATAAAAGAAAGATTCTTCATAAGGATATAATACAGGGAGAAAGAACTAGTTGGTAGAAAGAAAAATATAAAGCAATTTTAATCTCACAGTTTAAGGGAAGACAGAGAGTGTATACACCTACGCCATTGTGATCGATTCTGAGCCATGTCATCCAGTCTCCAACGATTGGTTATGATAATCACGCGGACCCAAACGAAGTAGTTTGCATCTACCAACATGGTTTAGATCAGAAGTTAGTGACTGATGCCACGTTTTGGTTTGGTCGTTCCTAACTTTCTTCCAACCATCCCCAACACTAGTCAGCTTTGCGCGTCGTGGTAATTAGTGTGCAGGCATACGTAACACAACCCAAACATCCCAGTCGATGTAGTAGCTTACGAGTATCCTCCACTCTTAATGGCCATGTTTCGCAGTCGTAAAGTAGAACAGAACGAACCACTGCGCAGTATACTCGTCCCTTAATTGATAGACAGATATCTCGCCTTTTCCATAGGTGATGTAAGTTGACAGAAACCAAACGAGCTTTTTGAGTCCGTGCAGAGATTTCGTCAGCCACCAACCCATTGTTGCTGATCAAACTTTCAATATACGTGAAGTTGTCGATGCGTTCAACTACTTCACTCCCACTTTAGTTTGATTACCTTGATACTTCAATAAAATGAACCATTTGAAAAGATTTGTCAATCGTGGGACCAACTGGTACTACTTACGTAATATTAGTCCAATTTTCACATTTAAATAATGGCTATTTTTCTGTAGTATTCTCAAGCAAATGAAAGTAAATATTTTCCAAAAAGCTTGTTCTGTTCCCCTCTTATCAAGTTAATGCCTAGTTTGCTGATAAAGTTTGATGTTCCTTCATGAACTTTTTCAGTATCCATTCCATCGTAAGTGTGTGTGCGCGACTCAAGATAAAAAATTATTACTTAAATTCACAGATATCCAAGTAAGTGCTGTGAGGCTTTTTGTACTTAAAACCAGCGTTCGAAAGATAATTGACTAGTCCTACATAGTATTAAACTCGCATATCGGGTTTCTCTTTTGTTTGCCGCCAAAATACTACCCTTATGTGCTTCCACAGTGAGTTCATATACAGACTGATTACTTGGTTATTCCTAGTGATTTAGTGTATTTGCATATTTAAAATAATATTTTTATCTACCTCTTTTCCAAATATATGAGTATTCCCTATGCGACATAATATTTTAGCGTTTCATCCTGTCTTTCAGATGATCAACTACCCCATGTTGTTTTGGGCTTCGACACTCGTGAAAGTTCTCCAGCTTTAGCAAATGAAGTTAGTCAAGGTGTTAGTGTTATGCATGGCATCTGCCATGAACTTGGACTAGTGACCACTCCGCAACTTCACTATTTTGTTCAATATATTGTAAGTTATTGGGATTGGCCAACTCGTTTTTAAAGAAAATTTAAAAATTTCCACAAAATCGTTTTTTTTTGGTTTAGGCGTTCTTTAGAGTTGTACATTTCTACTTTCTTTATTATTAGAATAACTTACCAGTTTATTACACAGAATATGTCATTGTTAAGTCACTAGTGTAGTGTTTGAGAATAGAATTTGAACTATTAGGAATAATGAAGTTGCTTGCCTTGACTATCGCATACTACCGACGTTGGGTGACTTTTAAAATGGCTCAGTGATAACACAAACAATTTTAATTGTTCATTTATGGTTGTAAGTGTAATAAAACGTTGATATTTACAGGACTTTTGTATAACTTATTAAGCCATCAAGGTTTGTGTATGTGTTATCTTGTACATTACTAATAACGTGATCTTTTTTGCAAGCTAACTTAGAAAGGAAAAAAATGAACCGGCAGTTATTGGTTTCCTTTGTCAAAACAAGTTTCATCAAAATGAATGAATACTTCGCATATGTTTATTTTCATACAAAATCATTCTACTCCATAATGTCGTTATTGACTTGATCACCACTCAGAAATAGTCTTAAATACTCAGTGAAAAAATCTACAAAACGGTTGATTCGGTAGTATATTATAATTTAACTAGTTACCTGATGCAATGTCATGTAAAGTGATAAAATCAGTAGACATGTAAAGCAAAATTAATAGTGATAGCTGACTATTTTTATGATCGACATAAAGAAGATAAAGAAACTAGAGTTAGTCAGTCAGTTAGTCAGCTACAACGTAGGACCAGGCACATATATGCATCGGTCCAAGTTGCTATACCTCATTAGCACAACAAGATGAACACGAAATTCATAGAAGTAGTTACTTCAGTGGTAGTAATATATAAAAGAAAGATTCTTCATAAGGATATTATACAGGGAGAAAGAACTAGTTGGTAGAAAGAAAAATATAAAGCAATTTTAATCTCACGGTTTAAGGGAAGACAGAGAGTGTATACACCTACGCCATTGTGATCGATTCTGAGCCATGTCATCCAGTCTCCAACGATTGGTTATGATAATCACGCGGACCCAAACGAAGTAGTTTGCATCTACCAACATGGTTTAGATCAGAAGTTAGTGATTTCAAGGACAGAAACTGGAAGATAATAATTGCCATTGATTAGCTAAACAAATGGGATGGATAAGTTTGGAATTTTAGTAAAATATAATATTCAATGTGTTGCTCTCAGATAAGAAGTTCAAACTCAAGCGAGTTATACCTTCAAGTCTGTTGACAGAATTATACGCATTTCATGATACTCAGGCCAGGCAATACCTGATATCTATCTTCCCCTATTAGGAAATCTGAAGGAGGTCAGATAATCAATCAGAGCGTACTCAAGATTATTAATTAATTGATTGCTCACTCTCTGTGATGATTTGGAGTCTGTAAGCTTCAGAATGCTTTGATACGAAAATGAGCGACACGGTTTATGACGGTGCACATTCAAATTTTCGCATTCAGTCTATGCAATTAGAAACTTACATTAAAAAAACAAACAAATTTAATCTCATGAAAGTTGATATCGTTAACCGACTTGGAAAAATAAAAAGTAGCACAAAGGCCATACATTTTGTTATGTGGTCGTTAGAGTTTGTAAAAGTTATATGAGACATATGACAGATGAATAATGTAGAGTCTTTTTTTTTCTTCCTTTACACTATATTCCCCGTTTTTGTGGTGTTTTTAGTGAAAGCTTGTATTTTCATGTGAAATTTTCAGTCAAATGGACCGAAGCTCTAAACTAGACATAAGATTAGTTAATATTTTAAATTAGATAGGTTTCGGTGTTATTTCTATGTTATATCACACCGTACTATTTTCCTATTCTTTATGAAATTACAGAATTCAATTGGTAGCCCATGTTCCAACCAACTTGTTGATTTAGAAACTATTTACGTTCATCATTTTGCTGAACGTTTCACCACCGCGTTAGAAAATTTACAAAGTTGTACTGAATCAATACATTTAAATATAGATTGTGCACATGGTGTTGGTTCTAAAGTTTTAGAACGTTTTCGTGCATATTTTTCATCTGTCAAAGGCCCACGTAGATTAATATTACACTTATATAATACAGAGACAGAGAAAAAAGAGTTACTTAATCAAAATTGTGGAGCTGATTTTGTTAAAGTAAGCTATTTGTATGTTCTTTTTTGTTTCTTACGAACAATATTTAGCAAAAACCATATTTGCATATTGTGTAACAAACCACATTAAATCAGGGGTTAAATAAAGTGAAAATTCGATTTTCCACCTCACAATATGCATGATTTAGATGTCGAAAAATAGATTCATTTTGGTCACAATTTGATGGGAGTCTCATTTGATTAAAAGCCAGATGTTTTGGCTTTTAACTATATCCACATAGCAATATACTGAAACGGTGTAAACCAAGTAGGAAACTAGTGTCTCCATAAGTGAGTACATTTAGTATTATTCTATCTAGCGAATCCCCTCTCTAAAAACTATCCTTATGTGATAATTTAATCTGTAGAACTTCTCGATATTTCATTTGTTTGGGCTATAATTTTAAACTCTTATAAATACCAGGCCGTTGGTCACACTTCCATCAAAGCTAATCATACTTATTGTCATCTGAATACATAAACACTAAGTTAAAATTTCGGAAAGTTTAATTTGAAGGCTCTGTAGAATTTCTTTCAGTTACTCTACAAACATATTTGGTTTTACGTTCACACTAATTGTTTGTAGTTCAACACGTATAATGGCTACACACGCGTATATACATCTTCTTGCTACTTAGAGCTAGAGGAATCTAATTAGTTAAAGTATTTCGGTTGTATTCGATAATGAAATAAAAACAATCGGTAACTGGACTTGTTTTATTCCTTACGATTTAATTGTTAATTAAATGTTTTCTCAACATTTGAATAGTCTCCATATAAAATGCTGAGTTTTTAACTTGTAAATTGACACGTATCTCAATATACCAACTGTCAGTCATATGTGTATTTTAGTCGAACTGAATTTCATATTCAAAACCTTGTATTTACATGTACAGTATGAAACTAGTCGTTTTTAATTTTATTGAAAAGTGTAGAAATAATGAGAAGTCAATTAATATCTTTCTAATTGAGGATGAGTTGATAGTGTTTTACTTCTAAATATTTATTACTATTGTGTTTAATGGTGAAGTGTGTTGAGGAATATGTTAAATATATATAATTTCTCGTGTTACCAATAGCCGTATTTCTTTATATGTGTATTTATAATCTCGTGATATTGAGTGATACTCGCTTAAATCTCTCAGGAAGCATAAGTTCCCTCAAGATTATAAATCTGTGTTGTTGACGAGACTATCAAATGACATAAAATCTATATTCATAGCTACTGGTCGATTACTTTTCAGCCACCTAACATATTTTTCTGTGTTTACAAGCCTAACTTTTCCAGATATTAAGTTCTTTGAATTTTTACTGATATATACGAAATGTTAATAAATTGTTTTTGCTCTTCACTTCACTGAAGTTGTGAACAGCAACCGTTGTTCGTATTTTTAAATAGCTGTTTTACCTTTTTTCTTAGTTATATCTGTGCTGCGTTCTCCTATTTGTTTAACAGATAACACTAAATGCACCAAAGTTAACCCCACCGAATGAACAGTCTATCATGTATCCAGATCGATGGGTAACAATCGATGGAGATGCTGATAGATTAATCTATTTTCGACCAATTTTTACACATTGTTCATCATCTTCAGATAATAGGTTAAATAATGACATGAAAGAATTACATCTAACTGGGGCTGTAGCTCAACAAGTTGAACTTCTGGATGGTGATCGTATATCATGTCTTTTTGCTCATTTTCTTGTTAAAGTTCTCAAGTCAGTATCTTCCGATCGTAATTTAACTATCGGAGTCATACAGACAGCTTATGCAAATTCTGCGTCTACCCTTTATTTAACTGAACATCTTCATGTATCAGTAGTTTGTGTTCCAACTGGAGTAAAACATTTGCATCATGCAGCGCAAAGTTTTGATTTTGGGATTTATTTTGAGGTAATAAATTTATGTATTATTTATACCTTTAATTTCGATCTGGTATAGCAATAACTGAAGTTTAACATTTCAATATATTCAGTGTAATATTCCATTCATCAATGTTTCAATCTTCCTGATAATCATCAGGAAGGTGCACCCAAAAGTGTTTCCTTAGAAAACTCATACCTTTCTTAAAATTTGGATCTGAATAAATTATTTTTAAGTTATTCGTAACAATTTATTAACGATACTTGGAGAGAGTTATAGTTTTTCCAAGTTTTGCTGGGTAATTAGCTAATGTGTAGCTACTAAAAACACTAAATTCAACGGCTCTTGATGTTTCATCGTTTAGTTTTAGTATCTAGACTACATTCTCTACTAGAAGGTTTTGCTAATATTACCTTAATCGGAAATCCGAAAAGCAATAATTAGTAATAACTACATGAAAGTAAGGTTAAATTTTCCGATCCAAAAGTATTAATACACTGCTTAAACAGTATTTATTCTAATACAAAGGTTATCCAACCTCAGTTAGTAATAGCTAATTTTAGAATGGTGACTATTCAAAGAATAATTGTGTAGTAATTTTTGAAAAGTGATTTCTAATAAAATTTTCCGAGCATCTCTAGCCTTATGATTAGTGTATGTGTTCTCTTTAGTACCATTTGGTTAAAAAAATTTATTGACAAACTTTTTAACCGGTTTGTGTTTTGTGCTTTATGAAAATATCTTTGCTCTGGTTTCCACAGGTTGTTGCGCTTTGGGAATACAAAACACTGATCCACTTATTTTTTGAATTCCTCCAGTAGTTTTTTAACATTGATTAATGATACTGTTTATTGCTCAGTTATGTGAGAGGACATACGTCCAATGTTATTGTTAACAATATTTATAGAATGTCGACGAACATCTCATATGTATTCTCATATTTAGTGAACATATTTTTCTTAACTATTTCAATGAGGAAATCAGCATTACTGAGAGAAGTCTCACACTAGGACGAAACGGCCGTCCAATGCTCTCAGGTTTTTAATGGTGATCTAACATTGATCAGTTCATGATCTCAATTAAAACTCAACAATCCCCACAAACCTATTGTGATATATTTTGCTTCTCAGAAAACCATGCTGAGTTTGCTATCTCAGTAAAAAATAATAATAGCAAAAATAATTACAATGATAGTGTCAATGTGACGTTATGACTTCAGCTTGATTGTAAAGTCACTTTTTCAATAACACTTCATAATTTCACGTTGTAAATATTTAAGATTTCAATTAATCGATATCTTTTACCATATGTACATTTTGAGCGGATAATGAAATCTAATCGCTAAATAGATCCATTACTGTGCTAGATTTACACACTAAATATACTGAGAACTAAACAAACAAGAACTTTGTGTGGGATTTCATTTGATTTGGCTCATTTTTGTTTCCAAATTATTTATTCATTCTCTTTTTTGTGTTTGTTTTATGTCTCTCTCTTCTTTTCGATATTTTATTTTTGTGGGATAGGCTAATGGACATGGAACTGTATTATTTTCCAAACATATTTTAAATTTTGCAAAAAATCTAAATGTGAACAATCCACTTCGTACATTTATTGATTTAACTAATACTTCAATTGGGGATGCTATAACTGATATTCTCTTGGTGGAATATACATTAGCTTGGTTAAATTGGTCATTTATTAATTGGTTTTCAATGTATGATGATTTACCATCGAAACAATTAAAAGTTACTGTAGCTAAACGTGATCTTATACAAGTTACATGGGATGAAAGACGTGTAACAAGTCCAATTGAACTACAAGTAAATCTAACAATTTTATTGTCAAGGTCTAGTTTACTTACATTGATTAGTTCTTTTGAGTAATAGAAATGTTTCCATAGTAATCTCTCTCTCTCTCTCTCCTTATATATATGGAGTGATAGTTGAATGATTGAGTTTCTATTTTATAGATGTGTTCGTGTTCATTCGATGCCCTGGGACTTTATTTCTCGCTTTATATTTATGTCAGTTGTTTATGTAAAATATTTCTCAATTATCTGTTCACCTACCTAGTTAATCATAATCTGTAAATTACTAATATACTGAATTCCCTACTCTACAATTGTGTACAGGTGTTCAAACAATGATCGTTAGCGCTTATTCAATACTGATCGTAATAATAAAAAATTTAAAGCTTCTTGAAGTTCTGTTAAATCCGATTGTTTGTTAGATTCTTAGTCTGGAATACTGCACAGGTGCACAAGCTGAAGCAGAGTGGAATACAGAGTTTCAACTATGTTCAACCTTGCTGTAAACTTCCAGTGCTATTTATTTCTAATGAACTAAATGTTTAACAATTAAATGTGCTAATTAGAGATTTACACTGAATCATTATTGCGAAGAGTTTGGATTATCCCTTCGTTAGTATTGTCGATTAAATTTTAATCGATCTTTGTCGAGACATATACGTCCTGCGTAGATTGTCTCAATGCGTCCATTTTTTTACAAGTTATACAGCATAGAAGTATTGTGTATAGATCAGTGTAGTCTAGGTCGCGTGCCTCGTCTTATTTAGGACTCATTAGCTGGATATACTTGCACTCTTGTTGATGTTCACTGATATCATTACTAGGATTGGTTTAGATAGAATATTCAGAAAAACAATTTTTTAAATGAATATTTTTTTTATTAACGTCATCTTCAACTTGTGCAAATATCAATTCATAGGTTTTGTGTCACTATGAGTATCTTAAATGGACAAGAATACGAATGTAAAGTCATTTTTCAGTCAAACATTCTTGATGTTTAGAAACGTGACATATAAGATGCTAATCACGAGACTAAAACCTATAAACCTATTACCATACTACTGTTACGACTACAATGATCTATTACTACAACTCGTCTGGTCACATTAATCAAATGAATTAAGTTTCACATTTAATCTTACATATCTAGGTTAAATAATTTTATCATTTGTCCGTTAAAATTATAAAACGTCATCCTATGAATCTGTGTAACATATGTTTGGAAATCTTTTTATGGTAAATTTCAAGTATATATAGATACATACGTGCCAGGCAGAGTAAATGAGGAATGTACATGTGATATAAACACTCAAAGTAGTTAATGTTAAATCAGAGGTAGACTCACTTAGTTATCCTATTTATTTAAGTAAGTTCTGAGATATTTTTATAAACTGCTATCAAGCCTAGATCTCTCATCATTTGAATAAGCATCGAATCTTATTTTCATAGATTACTATAGAACAGTTCACGTATATACGATGTATGCTACTTATGTTGACAGATATACATAGTATGTTGCATCAATCGGAAGTGGAATGCCTGCCAACTGAAGATTGAGAAAATTGAATTGGAGAGAACAGGAAGGGAAACAGAGAGCAATTGTAATAACATGATTAAAATAGCCGTGAAGCATGTAAAGGACAACTGAAATAATATGCGCAAATAATCTATTTAATTTATGATTTCCATATTTTCATTAAACTATGAATAGGTTTCCTCCAACTGAGTGTTCATTCATCACACACATAAAATACAGAAAACTTACTGACCTGCTTATCTACCAATAATATATCTTTCTTAGATTGACTTGTAGTGACTAATATAGAAAAGTAACTTGTGGTAATGATTTGTAAGAGTTCGAACCAATCATCATCATCATCGAAATTTTCTTTGGATTAACTAAAAAGCTGTGTACAAATTACAAATTGCTATGTCAGGATAAATATTAAACAAAAGTGAATTTTTGAAACAGTCCTACATGAAGTTGCTGCTTATAATTTTGTTGTATAATTATTAATTAATTGAACTATTATGTTTTTCTCATCCCGCTACTTTCAAGCTTTTGTTTGACGTAAATCATAGTTGTGTGTGTTACCTTTCCGAAATTATCTCTAGTGTATGACAGACCTATCACTCAGCCCTTTTCAACTCGTAAAGTGGTTGTTCCCATATCGTAATTTCTTAATTCGATTGATGTGTGATCAGGATTTTACTCTGTATTATTGTATAAGTGATTCATAAATTCGAACTGTATAATTAGATTTTATCTGCTTTTTGGGTTGTTCTCTATTCTGACAATCGGGTGGTCGAGTCATTTAGTGATAATCAGCGTATAGAATGGTATATTTGTACACAATTCGACATAACATAACCGCATGGATGTACAAACATAGATAATGTAGGACTAATATAAAATATAAATTAATATTCAATTAGATTTAGTCTTTTGATAATGTATGTATATATCAGAACTGTTTAAAATGTGTCGGCATAACCTTGACATATATTAGTTGATTTTATCCCAACAGTTAGTGAAAAATCATTCTTTCTTCAATGGAATTTATAAGCAGTAGTAATGATAGCACTGGCTAATTATCGTTTAACATTTCAAAGCTCAAACAGTCAACTAATATTATAAACTGATGTTTATTAACAATTGTAACTTCTATTTATCACTGGGGAAAAACTGTTTTTAAGCTCAAAGAAATTTAGGTTTCTGTAATGATTAGTGATTAGTAAGCTATTTATCAGAATAAATTTCTGGAATCTACTTTCTCTAATATTATACTTAAATCGTGAAACGTAACATAAATGTAAAAGGATAATTTCTCATTGAAATTTTGCTAAAACTTACATCTTCGTAATAAGAGTTTTAAGCGTCATGTAGTCTCAATAATTCTTGTATATTATGGTCTGTTCAGTCCTAATACTACTGTTGATGATAATAATTTTATCATTTACTCTTTGATTTCTAATATATATGTGTTTTACAATCCCAAGATTGCTATCGATGAAGCTGTTCAACAAGCTGATAAATTAGTTGATAAAATTGGTACATCACGTGCATTTGTTCGTCCTTCAGGCACAGAAGACACTGTACGTATTTATGCTGAATCGTATACACATGAAGCAACTGATTGGTTATCCGCAACAATCGCTTTAATAACTTATAGATTAGCCGGTGGAATAGGTCCTCAGCCTACACCTCCTAAACCTCTTCATTCCATTTGTAATTGATTCATCGTAATTACTGTGAATTAATGTGCTGATCGGTGCTCTTTCTTTCCTCCTTTTGTTCTGTCTTGATTTATTTAATCGTGTTTAGTTATTTTGATGTATTTTGTTATTATTTGTGATCTTGTGAAATTATAAATTTCGCCTCTTTACTGTTTTTTTCCCTATGTTCTCCTCTCGATTATATCTGATGGTAATTATTAAGTAGTTAATTTATATAATGTTATGTCATGAAATAATGTGTATTACAATATGATATAGAATATTTACAATAAATTAATTTCATACAGAACAAATGTTATTAATAATAATGTCTTATTTTTAATTTTGTTTTAGAAAGAGAAGACTATGTGTTAGATGGTTGGAGGTAGTCGACAGGAAACTCTAGGTCTCATACTATTTGACACTCGTCAATGTGTTATACTCATAGTTATGAAAGAAGTGCTCACAACAGATTTTGTCCCATGTCATGTAGCTCCACAGTTAGAGACGCTACCATTAATCTGCCCAGGTCACGACTGACCTGTAGGATTATAATATTTACAACTGATTGAGCAATAAGTAGTGACCAATGTAATATTTATCTAGTTCCTTATAATCCTGACCGGCTCCTGCTATTCAAATTGCAACTTGACAAACATGATATTGGTTACCGCTCAGTTGTCAATCAATTATATGAGACTGTGTGTTTGTGAAAATTTAATTAATAATATTGATTGCTTCAATTTTCTGAATTCTAAGTTCTTTACGTATTGATTTAACTTTATTAGTGGAAAATCTTTGTTCATATCATTGTTCTTTTCGCAATCATATTTTTCTGTTATTTCAGGGAACATGATTAAAAATATTGTTTGCTTGTGATCTATTCGGTAAATTATATATATATATATATATATATATATATATATATATCACGGGTTGTGTTCTTCGCGAATTAATCCCAGCTGGGGTAACATGAAAAATAGGAAGCACTGGACAGCTATATCCCACTGTGAAACTCCTTAGAATTGCTCACCCGCTTTTCTGTACATGGATAAATATGTGTATATTACGACGGTTTCAATCTCCCTAATTTTCCCACTATGGATGGATTTGGAAACTAGGTTGATGGTAAGGGTCCTAGAGACCTGAGAGTATGATCACGGAACTCCAAGAACAACTAATTGAGTTAGGTCTCACACAGTGCTTTGGATGCGATCGCGCTTGAGTGATATATATATATATATGAAGTCTTTATAAATGATTGCTTTGTTGAAGAAATGATTTTGTAAATTCTAAAATTTTAATGTAGTGACTAATTGTGAGTTGCTAAAGTTTTGTATTTTAAGATTTTCAAGATTGACAATCCAGTTATTGTACTTTATGTTTATGAAGGTGAAATTAAAGAAATGCCACCGTTGAGTCAATCACTATTTACATTTGAGCAACGTGTTACCATAATATAGTAACTGATAAGTTGACATTTTAAAATGAATTATGCACAAATATTGTTGAGTTATTGTATGATATTTGATTATAAAAGATACAATAATATGTTATATTTAAATAATTTAATCAGTTGTGATGAAAGTCTAAAAACTAATTAGTCGATTGGGTTTATTTCTTAAGATTAATCTTTCATGTACTAGTAATATTTCCTGTAATTTTAAAAACTACGTCAGACTGACTTAATGAAGTTTTTCATTTATTTAGTAAATGTAAATTTTCATTTCGAATTATTTCCATTTCAGATAAAACATTTCAATGCACAATTTTTCCGAAATTTCTCCATTTCTACTCAAAATTCGATCATGTGTTTTTTTACCTCAATGTGGTGGACGTTATTTCCCTCCAGGAACACTTTATCGTCCACATCATGAACGTTTTGATGAGAATTGTGAACGTAAACCACTGCCTCATCCGGAAACTCCAAGGTTTCAAGGTATTGATAAACTCATATATCTGTATTATGATTCAATTTTATTTAGTCTCCGTTGTTAACTGATTTTCTATAGTACTAATGATTAATATGGAAATAACTAGGTCTTACTAAATCAGTCAACTGATGAAGGTGGAAATAGGTAGTAACAGGTAATGTTTGCTGTTCTTTTTTAACTCACGAGTTATGTTACGGTTATTTAGAGTACTGGGGTTCAGTACGGACCTACATTAATTGCTAATTGAAGAACGATTGAGCTTATTCTGATCCGAATAGTTTCTATTACAGATTCGATAGATCAGGAGCTGGTGAACAACACCTCATTAATATTCCATTGTTATATATGAATATAAGAATACCAACGCGAATGCAAGGAAACTTGATATTTAGGCAGACAAATCGAAATAATACAAATCCGTTTATATAGTAGCGAAATCATGACTTTAAACTACACAGAAGATTAGCAAACTATAAGTAGTGACAATCAATCAGAAAAGGCCAAAGGTCACGTGAAAATTTCTACCAAAAAAATACTAGCGGTCGTGGTTACCAGTAAGAATTTAACATTAAAGAAAGTTGGATAACCCCGTGATCTCCTTAGACAATCATAACCAACAAAGAGCTTGGCACACGTGTGGATCGGCTCAATCTGCCACATCCTATTCTCACGTCGAGATGAAATTACCAAGTTTGGTATTAAAATGTTCGAAGTATCACTGATAACATAAACGATTAGAAATGGAGAATATGATTCGAGAAAGACCATTTCACAGAATAAAAGGTATAAAATAATTTTGAAACTCAAGATCTGAAGGAAAATGAAGAGTGAATGCATCTGCGCCATTGTGACCAATATCGAGCGACATCGCACAATATCTCCAACTACTAAATAGTACTACTCAAACTTCGATTAATTTTAATTTGGTTATTTATTTTCTGAAGAAGTGACTTACACCAAGTCACGAAACGTCAGAAAATTTAATTTTTCTACTCATTGGGATATTAACCAATGCTCAATTTATTCGAAATTATCAAATAAAAACTTGGTAATGATACCTACAATCTCCAAGTACTGACTAGGGGAATCGCGTGGACCCCAGTCAATCTACATCTACCGACATGACTGAGACTAGCAGTCAGTGACTTGAGGCACTGTGTTGATTTCATTAGTGACAACGATTAATAATGGTGCTAATGAAATATTGATTCTTATTTACTTCATATACATTCCATCGGTTATCATTGTTGAGAACGACGGGAAATGAAAAGTCCAATACAAAAGTATTTTGGGTGCATATATTTCTTTTACCATTGACGTCTCACGGTTGTGCAGCAGGAAAAATATTCTGCTGTTCTTATGGCCGATTGATCACTGAGTGGTGACCGATGTCATGTATATTAAATTCACATTACAACTTGATCTCTAGAATTCAACCAGCAACAAGAAGAACTCGGCAAACACGACATTTATCAGTACTTATTAGTCAGAAAATTGTAAATACACCCCAGTCCTACAACAGATCAGTCATCACCCTAATAGCTCAGTGTTATCGTCTGTGACTATGATGCTGAGTGACAGGACATCGAATCAGCCAGGAAGTATCAGTGTCTTCGAAATTACGAGTAGATCTTACTGATAAGTGTCAAATGATACGAAACCTCAGTCCAGGGTTTCCTTTCAAACCGTCTTCAACAACCTCCCAACAATTCTGTACAATACATTACTTAAATCATTTATTTTTTCTGTGTCACAACTAGCACTAACTAGGTGAATCTTCTACATACTTAGTGGACTTCATTAGTAATTAGGTCATTACATTTCTCAAGCTGACGAATGAGTTAATTTTTTGGACTATTTTGTTCTGTTGAATTCTTGAAACACTATATATTAACTACGGTCGGCTTAAATCAACCATTCTCATTTTGTCATTAATCGTTTTTTTTTCTCCAAACAACTCATTCTATCGACTTTTCTTTATTTAAAACCACATATAACTGAATTTGTAACAGTTTTGTATTAGTTCAAGTAGCATCACTTCACAGATCAACTGACAGATAGCGAAATAAATGCGAAGATAATAGTCACAAAGAGTTAAAAAAGAAAATAGTGGAAATTCATAAAGACAGCGGATATAATGGATAAAATGTACATTAATTATATTAAAAGGACAGTTGGATAGATTTGTATCATTTTTATGCGTAATACCTTGCCAGATTAGTGCTAACTGTATATTTTTATAACTATCAATGTCAATTATTTGATTGATGACATCAAAGGAGTTGATTAATTTGAGAAAGAAAATTGTACCATCAATTTAATTAGACATTTTTAACTAAAAGCCATATATATATATATATATATATATATATATATATATATATATGAATTATCACTACCCATCAAATATAATAGTTCATACGGTTACTTATATTGGGTTTTTTTACTGGGGTGGACATTTTTTTATCTTGATATGCATTTAGTTTTTATGACAGAGAATCAGATTTGCCGTAAACTTTAAATGGTATTTTAGGACAAATATCAAGCATAAGTCTTACTATTATGGCTTTTTAGCATTGTTTCGTTAAACAAGCACACTATTCTTTACGGATTATTGTTCTCATACAAATAAGAATAACATTCTATGGATTGTGTAATAAGTAACCTACCTATTTACATCCGTTATAATCTCTGTGTAGAATAAATATCCATCTAAATAACATACTATAACTCCTGTTTTTTACATGCTTAATTCATTTGTAAATATCTTTCATTTTCAAAGTTTATTTTTAAATCAACATTTATTTTCATTTATAATACTTTGATAATTCATCAAAACCGTAGTCCTAACATAAGGACAGCTGAATGGATATGTAGCATAGAAACATACTGATCATTACTCAACTTAAAATTTACATTTATATGCACAGAAATTCCATTAATTATTATCCATAATCAGATAGGGGTTTTGTGGATATTATAGTAATTTAATAGTTGAATTCATGAGTCAATTGAAGCTAGACCACCAAGAGGTATTTCCTGGAGTTCTAATGAGAAGCCGTGACCAGTAGAGTTCAACTAGGTTTG